TGTTTTGGCTTCGGAATTAGATCGGAAAGGATCTACAGTGATCTTCAGCCCGGGATTTTCTTGACATAAGGAAACCCTAGTTTTTAATCTTTATTTTTACGATTATTTCGCTCAGTTTTTAGAATTTTAACAGCGCATTTCCGAAAGAGGGTTTGTTCTTCCGCGGTTTTTTTCTTTGGAACCATCAGAATATTGGAAAAAAACATGGAAGTTCAGTGGGATTCCAACTTCAAGTCAACAACACCAAGTGACAGTGAAATTGACTTTAATAAGGAGGCAAAAAGAATCGCAGATTTAGATATGCCACAAGCAGTAGTAACTAAGCTCATTAATAACGTGGTATTTTTTTTGCAAATTTAAATGTGTTGCTTTCTTGGTTTTGTACAGCGCGTCTTATCTTTATTTTTTTTACATTGTATAAACACGGCCAATTCATTATTATTATTCTTAACGCATCAAAGTTGTGTGGTAACTCAATAGAAGAAGATGCAAAGATGGCCGTAATAAGATCCACTACTCAATTTATTAGTTATCTCACTTCAACGTATCCTTTTGTTCATCATTGATCTCTTTTATGAGGTTGAACAAGTTATCTTTAATTTATACATCCTATATTAGAGCGAATAAAATTGCAAGAAATAAGAATCATAAAAACATACAACCCGATGATGTGTTTAAAGCCATAGAAGAATGTGAATTTGATGAGTTTTTACCAAAGTTAAAAGATGAATTAAATGGTTTGCCCCTTTTCTGAATATTTTTTATTAATTATGAACCGTAATTAATCAATTAAATTTTTCTATCAGCATATGTGGAAATTAAAAGGTCCGCAAAAGCAAAACAGAATGAAGAGGAAAATGTTACTGGCGGTCCACCGTCATCATCTATAGTAACGGATTTGCCTTCTGATAGCGGAGTGAAGGTAGAGATTACAATACCTAACGGCGACCATGTCACAACTCTATATAGTTAAAAGTGCAGCGTTTATCCGTCAAGCAGACTAGTCAGACTTAATTCCGTTTAGCATGAGAATTCAAAACAACTAATTTTTTATATAATGACCCAGACACTTTTGCAATACATTAAATACAGTATAGTGTGAACTACTCTAAACATTATACTTGTATATCCCCTCTATATGCATGTTCTAGTCTGGTCCTGACTTGGGTTGAGGTACAAGTTTTTGGGCATGCCTTTAATCCATAAGGCAATTCTTTTACAGAGCGATCTCCAAAATTCCGGTCGGTACCTTGGTCGGTTGGGTAAAAAATTATCATATGAGCATTTTTTATAAATTTTGTGTGATTTTAGGATAAATTTTTTAGTGTTGGCCCAGCCGACTAGGATTCCGAAGAATTCCAATAGATTCCGACCAAAAATCTTGGTATGTACGTACGTATGTTGGTATAGTTATATGATCGCAATTTGATATTATAATTCATATAAAAGTATGGTGAACATTACCTCAAAATCCATAATTCAATCATTAGCAGTGACATAATATTCGGTTTATAGGTTAGACGTGCAATTAATGATATTAGAAAGCAAACCAATATCAGAAAAAAAGAACTAAAGTTAAACGAAGAGAAATAATATTTAATATATTTTTCAGTTTAATGAATAATTGTATGTATGTAATATGTATATTTTAATTTATATTCTTTTTATATGATCCAAACAATATGATGATTCTATTTACTTGGATTCACCAAAAATATCATTAATAAATTCAAGTATTTTTCCGGCATCTTTCCAATAAATAATTTGCGGGCTGATTCGTCTGTTCATACTCTTATATTTGTGGGAGGACGGTAAAGTATCATTTAAAAAGCTTGCAAGCATGAACCCTTCACGAGCCAAGAGGATATCATTGCTAATATACATAAATAGTCAAATTGAACAAATCGAGAATTTGTAAATATGACATTGACAAGCTTTAATTTAAACATACCTAGACATTTTGGTTGCAGGACAAAAATCATTAAAAGAATCACCAACATAAATAATTTGGTAATATTCATTCGGATGTGCTGATAAAAATTTAATAAGTTCATGACCTTTACAAATATTTTCTGAACATGGATTTTCACATCCATGAGGAATATTATTTAATCTCTGAATATGTAATCTTCCGTCTTTATCCCATGCAGCAGGATTACTGATAATACTAGATATTAGACCGTTGACTTTATATGCCTAAAATTGGCAATGTTTAATATCATAATTTACTCGCGAGACTTAAGTTCGTAAAATTGTCCCACAAACCTTTAATGTCTCTTCAATATACACTGTGTTAGCATCTGAAAGAATTATTATATCGCCATTAGCGTTCTTAATCATTTTAAGCGCCTCAATCATTTCCGGTTTCTTTGAAAATTAGTAATTTAAATAAGAGTAAACGCGAAAACATTAAAGTCTGTCACTGGCAATACTTACGAACGGAATTGCTGCAAATGCTTGCTCAATTTGTTGTTTAGTTATGCCTTGTTTATATATTTCACCAACTAAATAATTCCTACGAATTTAAAATTTTACTATTTAGATAAAGGTATTGATACATCTTTAGTTAAGAGAATATTAATACATTAAATCAGTCCACTGATATTTTCCTCTTAATTCATTTATCTGTTCTGCGATTGTTGGTGACAATTGTTCAATTATCCAAACATCTGAATTTTGGTCTATAAGAGACCTTTAACAATTCAAAACTAGAAAATTAGTTTCGAATCAATTTTTAGTATGGATTGAGTCGTGAAAATGATTCTTTACCAATCAAAATCAAATACAACTAAACGCTTCATAATATTTAATCAACTTTTTACATAATCTTGATATTTGTTACTTGAATTTATCAGATACCTTCTAATAAATTTCTGCTGCTGTTTTTAAATTGCAAAAAGTATATTGGTTGATGTGTAAAAAATTTAAGTTTATTTAACAGTACTGTGTTTTTTTAGGGAGCTATTTTATGGCGACCCTCGTGATCGACTATCTAAATTATGATTGTGGATAATTTTAATTTTTTTTAAACTTTGATAAGGATATCCACACTTAACAAAACTTGATAAACTTTTTTTTTGGTTGAAATCTGATATCTTCGATTAAAAAAGTTAATCGAATTTGGTTAATTAAAGTTTTTGCAAAATTTTAAACTTTTATATATAGTTAGTATTACAGTATTAGCTCAGGTCTCACCTTTTATTTAATTTGATACCCCCAGGGTTAGGTATTTGATATATATAATCATATGAAATAAATTATTTACCACCCAGGTGAATTATTCACCTCTTATCATTTTTTAAAAAAATAATTGAACCTAAGATGTTAGCAGGTTAGAGTTGAGTGTATTATATGTAAAATCATATAAGAAATCTTTTTTGTTAAAACCTAAAGAGTGGTTTTATAAACAAAATAGTGAGATATTAGTGATTTTTTAAAAAATTGGGTTATTACATATTATACACATTACATCTAATCTTACATGTTTATTAGATAATGTGAGGAATAAATATACTTTAACAAATTCGAATTTTTATATATATAATAAGAAAAATTGTATTTATAACTTCATATTATATAACACCTTATACTATATTTAAAAAATATACTAAGTAAATAGGATCAGGTATTTTAAATAAAAATGTTTAGCAAAAACTCTTTTTGTCAATCTTTTGTACCAAAAATTTAAGAAAAAAACAATAATGAAGATGTATAATATATCTAGAAAGGTAAATAAAACTATAAGCTAGCATCTACTATTTAGAAATAGGTTTCATATGCTACCTACTAGTAGGCTCAAAGTTTATCACTTACTGCGATGATAGTGTCTGTTATTTAGAGGTAGTTCTTATATACTACTTGCTGACAGGTCTAAAGTTTATCACTTACTGAAAAAAAAAGGTTTATCTAAGTTGAATACAGAAAAGTTATTGGCTTTTAAAAAGTTTTTTTTTAAGTCTAAAAATTTTTGCAAAACAGCTTACCTCTAACAAAAGATCAACATTGTTTACTTTATCCAAATTCAATAGAAAAAGAAACTAGACCCTGGTTAATATATTTCTAAAATAAATAATAGCTTTCAGTATTTTAATTGCAGTGAAGTTCTATGTAGCTAAGGAAAGTGTCATTTATCACCTGATTTTTTTAAATAGTAAATATTACCCCCCCACTACATGATAAATGAATTGAAATTCTGAAAGTATGTGTATATACATATATAATATTTTGGTAGAGACCCCCTTTAAAAAAAATCAGGTGATAAATAACACTTCTCTAAGTAATAAAGTAGTGTAATCTGTCTAATAATAAAGTAGAAACAAGAGTTCAAATTCTGAGTGGTTACTTTGATAACTTCTAGAAATAGTTAAAAGATCAAAAGAAATATCAATGATAAGGTAAAGCTTTACATTAATAATATACAAATATTCATATTTATTATATAATTTTTACTAGCCAAGTATAGTACAAGTTATACAGTAATAGTGCTTTTAGGGTCTTGGATTTTTTTTTATATATATTTTTTTTCGAAATCAGTAATTTTTTTTCTTTTTTTGTTTTTTTTTTTTTCTGGTCATTTTTGTAAATTTTTTTTAAAAAAATTTTTAGAATATAAACTGCTAATACAATAACTAAATATTGTAATTTTATGAAAATTATGATATTTGTTTTAGATAATTTAATAGAAGATTTGAAATTAAATAAAACATTAATGAAAGTTTATAAAGACTGAAATAATATGTAATTTATGAGTAGATATGAAGAGTTTTATAAAAAAGATTTGGAAAATTTTAAGGTAATTTTATTATTTTTAAATAAATTAAAATTTTAATAAATTAAAAATTTTTAATATTAATATACTTTATTTTTATTTACAATTTAATAAGAAGTTGAGCAAAAAAATTTGTTACAGTTATCCTTTTATATAATTACCCCCTATATAATTACAAACTCTATACAATCATATAATATTATGTAACCATTTTTTTATTATTAAACTACCTTCTATATAGTCACAAATAGCTTATAATCACTATCACATTTATAATTATATTTTTAGATTTTTTTAATAATAAAATTTCTTCTATACAATTACATTTCTATAAAGTGGTTAAAATTTTTCAATTAAAATATATGATGAGCGCATGTAAATCATATACTTTTTAACACAAATGACACCAGGATATAGCAAGTCAGTCACTCTATACTAGAAGTTGGAACCAGTTTTAAATATTCGAGTTTATTACATCAAAATTCAAGTTTATCACTTCAAATTTGAATTTATCATATCAATTATTAATGATTAATGTAATAAACTTGAATTTTGATATGATAAATTTGAATATTTAAAACTAGTTCTAATCTCTACTCTATACTTTGAGGCTTTGTATAATCTATATAAATAAGAGGAATTTAGATTTGAGCAAGTTGGCATTTTGAATCATAGCTAAGTCTTTTTTTATTTTATACTTTTTACTTAAGAAGTTTGTGATAAACAATGCTTTGTTATTGATGATCTAAATTTTACTTATGTACTATATTTGATCTATGATGAATAATAGCATAATAAACATTTTTAAAAGAAAACAAGATTTCAGGCGGACTAAATTGATTTAATTATAAGTTCAAAAGCCTGAAGTCAAGTTTTCTTTTAATAGTATCTGAAATACTATATATCCAATTACATAATTTCAATATTGCTTTTTTTCAACAGGACATTATATTTTACTAATAAAAATTTTTATCAAATTTTTTTTTCCTAACAACCTGAACTTTGAAAAATGTTTATTCAACAAACTTTTTTACCAACAAACCCTTTTTCTAAACTTCTGATTCCCAACAAGAATTTTATCTAAACCTTTTTTACTAAAAATATTTAATATATTTTCCCAAAAGGATATTTTCCGAAAAGATATTTTTTCAAAAAGCAAGATGTCTTGAACAGAATTGCATAAATTGGCCAGCTTTAAAATATATTTTCAAAAAGATAGAATATTATAAAAATGTACTGTTCAGAAAAACAACATATTAGTAAAATAGACATTTATTTTTAATATTTGGTAAAATGGAAATTGCAAATAAATTACTTATTGGTAAAATTATTATCACAAAATTATGTCTTGTTAGTAAAATGGATGTTAGTATTATGACTTTGGCAAGATAGTATTTCAGTAAAATTGATTTCGGGAAGTTCTAGCTATTCTTATAAAATTTTGGGATAATGAAAAACTTCTAATAATTAAATTCAATAAGTTTCAAAATTTGGCCAAAGTCAGTTACCTATTAATTACAATTCTGTAACCTATCAAATTCAGTTATCAAAAATTTTCAGCTGTCTCGGAATTTAT